CCTGAGTCCTGAAAACTACTGGTTTTTAAAATCTCTTTCCCAGCTCCCCCGTCCAGCCCTGCTTGTAGAGCCAAAAAAAAAAAAAAAAAGACAAACGACCAATAAGCATATAAAAACATGGCCAACAACGCTAATAATTAGGGGAAATACAAATCAAAGCCACAATGAAATATCATCTCATAACCATTAGGATGGCCACAATGTATATATATACCACGTTTTATTTTTATTCATTCATATGTTGATGGACATTTAGGTTGCTTCTGCTTCTTGGCTATTGTGAAAAATGCTGCAATGAGATATTGGCTTCAATTCTTTCAGATATATATTAATATATTTTAATTATAGAACTAAAAATGAGACTGCTAGACATGCGGTAATTCTATTTTTAATTTCTTGAGGAACCTCTGTACTGTTTTCCACAACAGCTGCACCATTTCACATTCCTACCCACAGTCACGAATGGGTTCCAGTTTCTCCACATCCTCCCCAATACTTATTACCTCGTTTGCAAGAGAGACCCCCTTTCTCTTTAGAGGTTTCATCATGACTTGGACTCCATTCTGCTCACTTATCTCAGGTACCCCAGTGGCCACCTCCCGGGGCTGAGCAAAGGCATCCACCTTGGCATCCGGGTCTCCAGCAGTCACCTTATTTTGGTGGGCAATGACACAGCCCGCATTTATTCTCCTTCCAGACTCTCATGGGGCCTTTCATAATCAAATTCCCGACACCACACAGGAGCCCGTTTGACCGTATGGTGTGGCCATTGGTTATGGCTGAGGAAGCTTTGAATACCCAGATGTTACCTTTTGGGAGAGAACCAAGCTCTTCTTTTCCTACCACATATACTACTCTTTATTTAGCTCATGGTGAGGACTTACCTAGTTCATCAATTAGTTTTATCATCCACAGGGCAAACAGCAGTGAACTTTGATATGGGGTCCTGTCACTCAACATGAGAATTTTCCAAAGAGAACAAAGCAGCCTGTGTCAATTCAATGGGGAGAGATATGAGGTTCAGAACATTCATCTCTACAGTGGGCTGCTTCTCAGGTTGTCCTAGAGGTAGAGACCTGACCTGCTTGCACTGTCCCAGAAATACCTCCACTTTTAGCATGTGCTATTTCATAATTGTATTGCATAGGTCCTTCTTTATTAGAATGACCTTTTTATATTACCCCAGACATAATAGTTTCTTTATGCCCCTGTATGAGGTCCTTTGTCCCAATAGAATGGATGTCTAAGAGGTTGCATCTAGCCCTGGAAGTGGGGAGTGTTTTAGACCCAAATCCCAGTGATCATCTCTAGGAGGCTGCATAGAATTCTATGAGAAGCTCCAACCTCTGTGTATTTTTAGTTGCAGACACATCCATAGCATTTAAATCAGGGCTGGGGGGTCCCATTGTCCTCTCAGAATACAGAACTTTTAAATATTTACTACAGAGGTGGGTTCAGGTGATTCTAAGAGCTCCCATTTTGTTTGGGCAAAGGATGGGCTTGCTCATACGAAATGCACTCAGCTGTGAGCTAGTGATAACAAATTCTCCATTTATGAATCATGTGCTTTTTTATTTACACTTTCAGCTACTAGTGATGGCACCGGTATAAATCCCTATTTCTTCCTTTACTCCTTTGAGTTTTACTGTGACCTTGGTGCTTTTGAACATAACATTGACATAAATCCAAGCTTCGCTTTTGACCTGTTAAATATTATCTTCTTCAATATAATATAATATATATTGCATTGCTGAATGTACAAAAGCTTCACCCACCACACCCAAGCCAGTTAAAATTTTAACTAACTTAATTTCGATATAATTTCAAACATGGAAGTTATAAGCATAGCACAAGGTGTCCCCACTTTTCCTTCACTGAGATTCATCAACTGTTAACATTTACTGTATTAACTTTATTCTCTCTTCCCCCTCCCTCCTTCCCCACATCCTCGCTTTTACAAAAAGTTGCACACATTGAATGTATACATCTTGATGAGTTTGGACATATGTATACACCTGTGATACCATCACTATAACCAAGGTACTAAACATATTCATCACCTCCAAAATGTCCTTGTGTTTTGTTTTGTTTGTTTTGTCTTGTAAGAACATTTAACGTGAGATCTACTTTCAAATTCACAGAAGCAGAGAGGCAGGGGCAGGGTTGGGGAAGGGAATTCGAAGTAGGAAGGGAGAGAGAGATCAATGTGATGTTATGTAGGGTGGTCAGGGCGGGCCTCTTTGTAGTCTATCTCCATTAATTCGCAGAGGTGTGATCATTATTCTCTTATAATTCCTTACATCTCCCTTCTCTGCAATTGTTTCTGCATTCTCTTTACAAAGATTCCTTATGATTTCTCATTTTTGTGTTAATTTGGCTGCACGGTGGTTTGGCTATTATATTCAGTTTCTTAAAGAACCACTGCTTCGTTTTATTTATTAGTTCTATGTATTTTTTAACCTTCGATTTCATCATCCTTTTCCATTGGTTGGCTTGGTTTAGTCTGGTGTGTGATTGTGTTTTCTCATTGCAAGTATAAAGTACATACATACATACATACATATATACATAAATGTATGTGTGTATATATCCAATATATTTACAATTGTATCAAATATATATACCCAAATTGTATTTAGTTATCTACTGCTTTTTGCCTGTGTACTCTCATTTTTCCAATTTAAATACCACTTTCTCTCCCAATCCCCACCCACCTGTCTTTACTAGAAAGACCAGCAGTTTTCTGCAATGCCATTCCTTTAGAACTAATGATAGAACTCTGTGGTATTGTATAATTTATAAAAATTATAAGGTAGTCACATTTCCCATTAGATCCATTATTAATTTAATCATTCACCCATCTATTTATTTTCTCTTGATGGATTAATTGAGCACCCATTGCTAGGCACTATTGTATTCACTGGAGAAAGAGAAGGGAAAGAACAGGTGAAGCCCCCTTGCCTCACAACCCTTGCATTCTGTTGGTGAAAGACCAACAGTAAACAGACATGTATGTCTACGGTGCCAGGGAATAAATCTATCCCATGACCTGTAAAACCAAAGGGCAGAAGAATTGTACAACTTTTCCAAAAGGGATTAAAAAAGACCTACTGGGTCCCAAGTGCCATGAAGAGGTAAGTACTCACTGAAAGACACAAGACACAGTCCAGGTGTGACTAATCCAGGCTCAGGAAATGTTCACTGAGAATCTGGTGCACTTAAGGATGGGGCTGGACTGCAGGTGGGACTCCGAGTCCACAAGTTATGCCGGGGAGGTGTCTCGTCCAATCTAACACTCCAGAATTTTCTCCCCTGACCCTCTTATCTTCTCCTACACCCTCTCTTCTGGGTTACTTTCCACTAGATGAACCAGAATCCTAAACAAACTGGAATGCGCAATGGGCATGGCCACTACCCAGAAGACAGCCAGAGCTGGTTTCTACTGCTAAATCTCAGCAGTAACCTGGATACTTACAGGCATCTTCCTTGGAATCACTTATGAGCACAAGGATTTTCCAGGAAAATCTTAGCAAGATTGCAATCTGGAGGAACTAAATCAATGTCTAAATTCAATATGATGCAAAATTAACAGACAACAGAATTTGTTATATGCTCGGACTCAACGCAGTGATTCTAGAGTTCATTTGAAGGAATAGCCAGGAATTTTCAAGTGCTTAGCAGATTTAGGCTTTTCTAGTCTTTAGAACATTTTCAAGGTACAGCAAACGAAACATTGCATTACTGGTGCACCATGGACAGTGCAGAATTGAGTTTAGAATTGGAGCTGAGAGTGCATGCAGGTTTCTATAAGAAAATGGTGGAATTTCACAGCAGTGGGTAAGGTTAGGATTATTTTTTAAGTGCCAGATAACTATTTCGCCCTTAATTAAAATGGGTATTCAGTGCGTGCATCAAAGATTTGAATGCAAAACAAGGCAATTAATAAAAACATTAAAAGAATGAGCTGGGGATTATGGGTCCTGAGCCTGGATGGGCCCAGGTCTGGCTGTGATCCAGGCTCGTGGCTAGGAATAGCACTCCGAATTTAGAATGTTACGTTAGTGTAGTAGGGCGCCGGCGCCTAAAATATGTAAACATAATTCAGCTTATTGTATCACGCATGTGTGGCTGAACACCACTATCGTACTTTGATATATGAGGAGCCATACAGTCCCCTGGAAAGCAGAAGGGGAGCACAAGAAAGGGGAGCAGAAGAGCAGAAGCAGAAGCGTGCTCCCTGCAATAGACTGTGCTCCCCACAATAAAGTCGGTGCCTGACATTTCATTCTCACGTCTGCCTCTTGTGCATTCTTCCCACTGGGCGTCTCACCACCGAAACCTTTCTTTCTCGATCAGCTCAGCACCGACAGTGATTGAAAAAAAATTTAAGTGGCAAGGCCCAAAGAATGATAGAAACCTGGAAGCAAGCAACAAAAAGACTGATACAATGAATATCATTTTTAAAAAACGACTCAAACTACTTAAAAGCTTACAAATCACTGAGACTCCACTTGCAGGGATCTGCCTAGGAGACCATTACAGATGAGCCTCGGTTTGGATTTAAGAACAGTCACAGGGGCTACGATTTAGTTATATTGGCAACAGCGGGGATTTGGTTAAAGTATTAAGTGGCAAGGGCATAAGTTGCTGGAGCTCCAAGCACACATCATTTGGTAAGGTCACCTGGCAGGTTAATCCGGGGATGGTTGATGGGGGAGATAAGGAGGCGGGGGCGGCGGTGGGGGGTGGGGAGCGGGCAGAGACCTGAGGGATCTGAATCCCCACCAGGTGAAGCTCAAGGTCGCCGGAAGAGGCTGGGCCAGCAGGGTTGAAATTGGGGCAGGCGTGGGCCTAGCACCTGCTCTTCTGAGCGTGCGGAGTATCCTGCAAGGCAGCCAACCTGGTCTTACCTCCACCGCCCTCCACCCCTACTTGGTGACTGCTCCTGAGCGCAGGGATGTGTCCCAAGAAAGGCTAACTAACCCTCTCGGAAAGAAGCTTTTCACCTCTAGGCCCACAAAGACTCTGGGGCTGGAGAGAGAGGGACTCAAGGCCACAGAGTGTGGGGGCATTGTGCACAGATCAGCCCAATTCCCGAGGTGGAAGGAAAGTAGGTGAGCTGTGCAGACGGAGTGGGACAACCAAGACTGGAGATAGGTGTTTGGAGGACCTGTTCAGGTTGCAATCGCTTAGGTGTGTGTGTTGTGGGGCAGAGTCCAGGTGGCTGTGCTATGGGGATGCCTGGTAGGTGAGAAGAACCCAGTACACCTGGCTCACACAAGCAAGCCCTGTGACCCATAGGGTCCTGTGTGTGTGGGGAAGGGAATCAAAATCAATAATTTTCTTAAATTTCTATGAATATTTTACCAGATCCCCTGTCTTTTACTAAAGGACAACTTAGCAGCAATCTTGTTGGTGTGATTGGAAAATGTGTGTAGTTAGGACCTGATGCTTTAATTGAAGTCATAGTTTTAAAAAGCTGACCAGGCAAATACATCGAGATGTCTAATATAACTATGTCTATCAAGGGCCTCTCCCCTTCAGGGTCATCACCTTCAGGACAGCAATGAGCGGCAGGGCCAGGACTCGGGCCCGGGGCAGAGCACGTGGTCGGACACCCCCCAGACCTGCTACGCCTGGAGCCGCTGCAGCAGTGAGCATTTCAATATTCATGTTTCCTTTATGTAAAAGATACTGCCTCCACCGAAAAGAGAGAGAATTGGTTGTTGAGCCAATATAGTTCAGGTATAGAGGTCTCTCCTGATGAAAGAGAACTAATAAATTTCATGAGAAAAGTCAGATTCTACAGATGCTAGCATGGGTAGGCATTATCTACTTGGGTATCCACTTTGCTGCTTCCCTTCCACGTTTGATTTCATGTATGCAAACAGACTTTTTTTTTAATCCCAACTGGATGGAAAGGCTTCTAAATTTCTTGGCCGCAGTTAGTGACTCCTCCTTAGGACTTCAGCTTCAAAACAGGCAACTTTGTTAAAGTACTTGAACAGCCTGAGTTGGACAGAGTTTCCAGTATGGTTTAAACTTGTCATCCCTGCTGTCTGTGTGCATTTCTGTCTTCTCTTATCCCCTCTCCACTTGGGGCTTTCGTGCAGCAGAACCCAGCTGTGCTGAGGGGGTCTTGCTTCTCCGATTTCCAGTGGGTCCTGGGGCTGGCCTAGCACGCACGTGACGCCATTCAAGGCCATTTATTCTCTTCTGTGATTGTTGCTCCTCTCTCCTCCTCTGCTTCACTCAAACCTCAACCTTCCTCTTCTGTCCTAATTCTCAGCCTTTAACATCAACTCCCATGTCGCTGAGATAAACAGAACATCAGAGCAGAACTTCAACATCTTCCTCCACCACATGTCCCCCACCTGGCCTCAGCCCCTCTCCTGAAACCCTCTGCTTCTATCTAAAGAAAATATCTCCACCTGCATCCTGAGCCCCTTCACCAATTCTCTGTCCCCAGGCATCTCTCCTGAACTTCTTGCCTTGATTTTCCAAGTCAGCAGATTTTTGCTCTCCCAGGTCATTTCTACCTGCAAATGACCAGCTAACTTTTCTCTCATTCAACAGGAAACCTCTCCCAGATCCCACTCCCCTCACAATTACTTCCTTACTCTCGACTTCTGATTGCAGAAACCTTGTCTCACCCCAGAACTTCAGTTCTCATTTCCCTCCCTTCACTCCGATCAGGCCCTCCACCGTCGCTCCATGAAAATGGCACCTCTAGTGTCCTCCGCTCGGTCAGATCCACAGGTCGGTTCTCGAGCCTTCGCCTCCTTGCTCCATCACTTGTACTTGGAATAGTTGGGCCCTCTTTTCTCCTTTAGAAACTCCCTCCGTGTGGTGTTCAGATCACCACCCATGCTTCATCTTTCTCCTGCTCACAAGCTACTGCTGCTGGCTCGTCTTGGCTTGGTTCTCCTCCCTGCCCTGTTGATGTGCCCAGGACCTAGTCCTTGGACCTCTTCTCTTTGCTACAGGTACTCATTCCCTTGATCATCTTATCAGTGTCATTGCTTTCCGTGTTACTTGTTATGTGGACAAGTCCCCATATTTATATCTCTGGCCAGACCCCTCTCCTGCACTACCTGACGCTCCCCAGATATCCACAGATGTCTCATCCTCCTGATTCGCCCTACCGGACATGTCATAATTAATTTAAAGAAGTCCCATTCTTCCAGCTGTCCAGACCAAAATCTTGAGATTCATCTTAGACTCCTCTCTTTACCTCACATACCCTTCACGGAAACAACCAGGAAACACTTGTCTTTGACTTTCAAAAAAATATTCGGTATCCGACCATTTCTTACCACTTCTGTTACTACCTCTGGTCCAAACCACCAGCATCCCCTGCTGGATGCTGCGGTGGCCTCCTCACTAGACTTCTTGCTTTTGCCCTGGTCTCAACACAGAACCAGAGAACTAGGTTCGTGTAGTTCCTCTGCTCACCACTCTGTAGGGTTCCCACTTCCTCAGAGTCAGAGGCACATCCCTTCAGGTGGCCTCCCTCCTGCTGTCTCTCTGGCTTCCTTACCCGCTCCTCTCAGCTTTGGTCATTTTGCTTCAGCCACGCTGGCCTCCTTGTTATTTCTTGGGCATTTCTGCCTGAGGAACTTGGATCTCTCTTGCCTCCATCTATGGCTTGTGTAACCTTGTTAACTCACCGCCTTTAGGCTTTGTCCCACATTAATTAATGCAACCAGCCCCCTTCATACCCCAACTTCCCAATAACTGCCAATTTTCCTTACTTTGCTGTTTTTTTCTCCATCCTCCCAGTAATTACCATACTATTGCTATATACAGTACTCGTTATATTTATTTTGTCATCTGAATGTGAGCTTTTCAAGGGAAGGTCCTTCGCTTTATGCCCTGATAGTACCTAATGCATGGCAAGCATACAATAATTTTTGGACGTGGAACAAACATAGAGATAACATTACCCTTTATGTTTATCTCCAAAAACACGCAGACCCCAAAACCTGGTCAAATCCAACCTACACTCCAGCCACCGCAAGAGGAAAGCCAAGTGGCTAAGCCTGGCCAGCCAAGAGGAGCAGAAGGAGCATCTCAGCTTCCAGGTAAAAAGAGAGAAGGAGGATATGGTAAAGGGCAGGGGATGCTTAATACGTGAAGGGACAACTGCAGTAATAAACTTCTAGACAAATAGCTTTGCTGTTTCCAGGAGGTTTGGCAGGATGGGAAGAATGTACAGCTTGCAACTACTCCCTTTCCTGCAATGAATTATCCCTCTATATTTTAAGGCTTACGGAAAAAGAACAGATCAGTATTCATTAGCCAATTCAATGTAGTTGCTTTTCACGTTTAGACATTTGTTTATATACAATAACTCTAAGTAAACTAGGAAATTCCAGGAAATTATTTCCTTGGTCATTAGCAAATCCCCATTTCCCCATCCCTCACCTCCTGAAAACCAGTCTACTCTGCTTCTATGAACTTGATTATTTTACATACCTTAAATAAGTGGAATTATACAGTATGTGTCTTCCTGCGACTGGCTTATTTCCCTTAGCATAATGTCATCAAGGTTCATTCATGTTGTCATATACTGCAGGATTTCCTTCCTTTTTTTTAAAGGCCGAATGAATAACATTTCATCGTATGGATAGAACACATTAACTTTCTCCATTCATCTGTTGATGGTCATTTAGGTTGTTTTGATAGCTTGGCTCTTTGTAATAGGATTGCAATGAAAGTGGAAGAGCTAATATCCCTTCGATATCATGATTTCAATTCGTTTGGACAGATACCTAGAAGTGGGATTGCTGGATCGTGTGGTAGTTCTGTTTTTAATTTTTTGAGGAATCTCCCTATGTTTTCCATATCAGCTGCACCATTTTGCAATTCTACCAGAGCATACAAGGGTTCAGATTTCTCCACATCTTCACAGACATTTGCCTTTTTAAAAATGAATAGCCATCCTTACAGATGTGAAGTGATAGCTCATAGTGGTTTTAATTTGCGTTTCCCTGACGGTTCGTGGCCTTAAACACCTTTTCATATACCTGTTGGCCATTTGTATGGCTTTGTTGAAGAAATGTCTATTCGGGTCCTTTCCCTTTTTCAAATTGGGTTAATTGTTGTTGTTATTTTGCTATTGAGTTGTACAATTTTCTTATATATTTAGGAAATTAACCCCTTGTCAGATACATGGTTTGAAAATATTTTCTTTAAGTTGCCTGTCACTGTTTCCCTTGCTATACAGAAGATTTTACCTTGATAACATCCCATTTGTCTATTTTTTATTTTGTTGGCTGTAATTTTGGTATTATATCCATGAAATGATGGCCAAGACCATTGTCATAAAGCTTATTCCCTGTTTATTTCTAGGAGTTTTACAGTCTGGGGTCTTACATTTAAGTCTTTAATCTGTTTTGAGTTGATATTTGAGTATGGTGTGAGATGGGATCCAATGTGATTCTTTTGCATGTAGACATTCTGTATTCCCAAAACCATTTATTGAAGACATCCATTCTCCATTCTGTATTCTTGGCACCCTTTTTGAAGATTAGTTGACTATATGCATTTATTTCTAGACCACTGGTGTGGCTTTGAGCTAGTATCACACTATTTTAATTACTAACATTTTGCAGTATATTTTGAAATAAGTGTGATGTCTTCAGCTTTGTTCTTAAGATTTTTTTTTTGGCTCTTTGGGGTCCTTTGTAGTTTCATACAAAATTGCACTGTCATTCAATTATTGACCTTGCAGAATATTTAAATCTGTATGAATCTTAGAATGTAAAAAAAATGTAGTGTGAGAGCTTTTCCAGGTCGGTGTTAATAAAAGGGATAGATCAGTGGTTCTGTATCAAAAGCCAGTTTCATGGAATTGTCCATTCAGTGAGCATTTTATGATGTCCACTAGAGGGCAGTGTGGTGCCAGGTGATAAGCCTGTAAAGAAGTAGAAACCGGACAAGGTTTCTGCTTTGAAGAATCTTGTAGTCTGAAGAGAAACCTGAAGAAACCAGACAAATAACAGAGCAGAGATGAATGAGGAGCTAAGGCAACCACTAATATAGATAGGAGGTGTGTTGAGACAGGCTTCTGGGTAACACTCCCCTTTTCTGACCCATTACTAAAATAATGTCTAAATCCTTCTGACATCTTTTTCTACCTCAGACAACCTCGACTGGTTTACCTCATCGCTGGGGTTTAACATTGTCCTTTCTGGTTACATTTCCCTTTTCATTGTATAAATTCACAGCTTTCACACTTATTTATACACAGGGGAACTTCAGCTCTCGGCTGAATTACAGGCAGCAACGCTAAAAGGGCGGAGGGCACGGTGCGGTGGAGTTTTTCGAGACCTTGTTGTGAATACTCGGCAGTACTTGGAACATGTTAGAGGGTCCAAGGCAGGTACGCTGGCCATGTTTTTCCTTTTTTATTTTATATTAGTTTTAGGCATACAGTATGATGGTTAGACATTTGATTTATGAAGTGATCCCCCTGATTACGCTAGCACCCACTTGGCACTATGTACAGCCATTACAATAATACTGACTATATTGATTTATGAAGTGATCCCCCTGATTACGCTAGCACCTACCTGGCACTACGTACAGCCATTACAATAATATTGACTATATTCCCTATGCTGTACCCTAAATCCCTGTGACTGTTTTGTAATTACTAATTTGTACTTCTTCATCCCTTCACTTTTTTCACCCAGCACCCCAATCCCCTTCCCCTCTGGCAATTGTCAGTTTGTTCTCTGTATCTGTGAATCTGTTTTCATTCAGTTTGTTCATTTCTTTTGCTCTTTAGAGTCCTCATCTAAGTGAAAGCATATGGTATTTATTTCACTCAGCATAATACCCTCTAGGTCCATCCAGTTGTTACAAATGGTAAGATTTCATTTTTTTAATGGCCGAGTAATATTCCATTGTATATGAACCATAACTTCTTTATCCAACCATCTATTGATGGGCACTTAGGTTGTTTCCATATCTTGGCTATTGTGAATAACGCTGTCATGAAACGTAGGGGTACATAGATCTTTACAAACTAATGTTTGGTTTTCTTTGGATACATACCCAGAAATGCAATAGCTAGGTCAAAATGTAGTTCTATTTTTAATTATTTTTGTGGAAACTCCAAACTATTTTCCATGGTGGATGAACCAATTTGCAATCTCACCAACAGTGTATGAGGGGTTCTCTTTTCTCCACATTCTTGCTAACACTTGTTTTTTGACTTACTGGTGATACTTATATGAGAAGTGTGAAGTGATATCTCATTGTGGTTTTAATTTGCATTTCTCTGATGATTAGTGACTTTGAGCATCTTTTCATATGTCTGTTGGCCATCTGTATGGCCTTTGGAGAAATATCTGTTCTGCCTATTTTTATTGTTTTTTTTTTTTTTTCCATTTTGTGGATGGTTTCCTTTGCTGTGCAAAAACTTGTAGTTTGATGTGGTCATATTTGTTTGTTTTTCTTTTGTTTCTCTTGTCCAAGGAAAAAATTACTAGTAGCAATATCCGAGTTTACTGCCTATATTTTCTTCTAGAAATTTTATAGTTTTAGGTCTTACATTTAAATCTCTAATCCACTCCAATTTTATGGAGTTGTTCATTTTAAACTTTTGCTAAGATGCACGTTTGTGTTTAAGAGTGTGTAAAGCTTCATACCATCATTCTAAGTGGAGGTACCCTCTTACCTTTTTGTAATAACTTTCACATTTGCAGAAATGAAGACATATTTTAGAGTCCTGGATGTACTCTTCATTTTTCTTTTCCTTTTATAGCTGCTAAGATAGAATGACCCAGTTCTTCGGTTGGGCTGAGATGTGGAAAAAAATCTAAAAACTGTTATGTACAGCGACTCCCCCACTCCCATTAGGAAGCCTTGTGCTGCAGAGGTTTTCTTTTTATTTTGACCTCTTTTTATTAAATATTTTCATCTTATATTTTAACTTCGTAAATGTATGCTTTCATAAGTTCTCACCTAAATTGATGTTGGGCATTCTGGATGGCAGGTGCACATAAATGTTTGTTATTTGTTGTTAATCTCTTTGTTTGATTTAACCTTGGCTGTCAATATTGTGATGTCCAAATTGTTTGGGGTCCAATCAGCCCCTTTGTTTTATTTTTGACATGGGGCTCAATTTTTCAGGCTCACAAGGTAAAGTGATCAAACTATTTGCAAACCATTTCCGAGTGACGTCTTGTCCCCAGTGGATCGCGTATAAGTACAACATTGACTACATGCCAGCCATAGAAAATGGAGATGTT